GCAGCACACTGATGGACAAGATGGTGGCGGTCGGCGACGCGCCGACAGCAGCTGATCCACAATATCACTCTCGTACTGGCGATGGAATGCATTGAAGCTCGCCACGAGTCGCATACCAAGCGTCACCTCGGCCCTGCAAACCGTCCACTGTGAAACATCCTCGAGCGTAATGGCTCCAAATGCAGATGCGGCAACATTTGCCATATTCCTGCGAACTGCCAGCGCCGTGGAGCCATTCACCGTCAACTTCACATTCTTGGGCCCCCGCGTAATCTGAAACTGAGACACGTTCTCGTGAGCACCTTTCAGCCGGGCGACCTCATCTGACAGACGTTTGATGAGCTTCGCGTCGCGAATCGCTGCACGCTGCTGCTCGTCGCAACGGGCCCGGTACGATGAGATAAGACATTCACGCTCCTGGTCACGCAGTTCCAACAGCCTCACAAGAGTGTCGTTGGGCAACGACCTGTAACTCTGCGCAACCAAGGTAAGCTGTCGTCGATGGCCACGGTTGGTCATCAAGCTGTCTGCAGATATTGGCACAAGATCTGTCGGCGCAACCGATGGCACAATCGCATCGGCGGGCACGACGGCAGTTGATGACGAAGAAGTCTGCACACCTGCAGCGGCTGGCGCAGCGGGTGATGGCTGCACAGGCGCCGCCGCTGCTGATACTGCTACCAGCTGGAGTGGCGGTGCTGGTTGCACCGCCGGTGCCAGAGCCAGCATCTGCGCCCACTGCTCTGTGGATGGCACATCGTGCCTGCCAAACGCATCTCGCAAGATACTGGGCAGCGCCAGTGCCAGATAATTTGCTCCGTGGAACCAGCGCGGCGAACTGTTCCTGGCAAGGATTCTGCTCGCCGCCAGCTGAGTGACCCGACACATCTGAGACAGAAGAGCGGGCAACGAGTCACGAAGAATAATCAGCTCTCCATCGGGCGCCGTGGTCACGTACGCCCGGACAGCAATTGCAAGTTGCCTTCGAATCTGAAGGGACGACATGCTCCAAATGCTTGGGCCAAAACGGCCCGCTCCACTGGACCCAAAGACACAGCCCAGACCCAACGAAAACACACCTCGAGGCCAAGGCTGTCCAGAAACAAACGAACGCATAACTAGAAGCTAGCGCAGCGCGCCAGGACCATAGCATGGGGTCGTGCCGAATCCAGCAGCGGCGATCGAGGAGGGCCCCGCGATCCAAGTCAGACCGATACTGAACGATACCACTGAAGGTGGAAAAGCACAAGCACGCAACATGATAATGCACTACCGCTCGTGCCACATGTCGGTGCGCAACGCTCTCTGAAAGCCCGCCCATCGTCACATCCCATGGGCTAAGGGTGGGCAGTTGGTCACCGGGGGACACACGGGGCAGACACCGAGCGCAGTGATGTGCACGCAACGCGCTAACGTGAACACGCCGAACCGAGCTCCCACGGTATTAGTACAAGTTATGGTACATCACACGGGTCAGCAACAACAGATTGGCAGTGGTTTGACGTCGGCACCGACACGTTTTTTGTATTGCATGTGGTACGGCTTGCCTAAGAATCTCGAGCGCGATGTTTATATGCACATGTCGGCCTTACCAAAATATCACCCCCCAGCGCAGTTCAAACCAGATTGTCCGCACCCAAACCTACAATAAAAGTGTGTGTAACATGATATTGGCGGACGCAAACCCAGTATGGAACCATAACTAGCATGAAATATTGCACGCGGTTTGTGTACATATGAACATACAACACACAGGAATCGCTTCGCATTAGTGCGCATGCTAAATCTCTGATACACAGAATTGTGGTATGATTATGGATATGGTATATAATATCGGCTGAGTTTTATTTACACGTCAGATCCTCAGCCTCAGTTTCTGTGGGGAGGTTGAAGCTTACAGCCCCCCCCCCCTCTACAAGCGCGGAAGTACCCGAACGCTTGCGGACAAGGCTGTCGTGAGATTCGCACCACCCCATGCGGCATTTGTTTTCGCCGAAGTTTCCTGGTTGCCACTCGGTGTTCGCCTTGGGGGCCCTCGGCATGGTCGCCACAGCTATAGCGCGCCCGTGGCGGCCCCGTCGACAACGGCTTCCACCACCACTCCGAAGACCAGGCGTTTGCCGATTTCACCCCGGTTTCTGCTTTGAGGGCGCTGGCGCCGTTCACGCCCGAGCGGGCGGCGGCACCGGCGGCGGGGCACACCGCGGAGACCCGCGCCCTCCGCTTCTCGTCATCATCGCCGCTACCTCGTACTCATGTCAGTCGCCGCTTTTCCTCCTTGACCACTTCCCTCTGGACGTTTTTCTCTTCGAGCGCCCTCCCCCCCCCGTTTTCCTTTGTCATTTTGCGGGGCGTGGCGTGGAGGCCCGCGCCCTCCGCTTCTCGTCATCATCGCTACGCCCTCTCCCCTTCCCGTTTTTCTTTTTCCTTTTTTGCCCAACCTTTTTCTCCTGCCTTCCTGCGGCCGTTCCTCCTGCTACTCGTGCCCGCCATCGTCTTCATATGTTCCGATATTGTTGTCATTGTATATATCCATCTCCCTCTCTCTCCCTCTCTGTTTTTCTTCTCTTTCTCTCAGTCGCTATCTCTCCCTCTCTCTCTCGCTTTCCCTGTCTCCTAGCATCGTCACCATTATGCTGTGTGTCCACGGCCTCGGTCTCCTTCCCTCATGCTTCCTCCTGCTGTTTCTCCTGTTTCCCGTGTCCCTCTCACTGGTTGGTAAGTGTTAGCGCGTTGCGTATCCTTACCAGCCCGTCCAGCCACAATGCCTAGTTGAGTTGCCCTCACTCGGGGCGCATGGCATCATATTGATACTCCATGGAGCATCAGTGAACCAGAGGCCTCTTGGATGTATCTCGGGGTCGCTTGGGATGTGTCCTCGGGGGCGACTGGTGAAGTCGGGCCTGTCCATCTACAGGAGGAATCTTCAAAAATAGTCCAAACAATCGTCTGGGGACGAGATTTCCTTTATGTTTGTAAAACCCGCGTCTAAAACCCGCCTGTAGGGGGACATGCCCGACCAAAGACTCATGGGGGTTTCGGGATGCCTCTCTGAGCATTTCGGGTGCCTCTTGTTGGGGACTGGACTCGTCGAGCTTCCCAGAGAGCGAAGCAGCGGAAACTAGGAGCAGCACGGGATCGCCAGCGGGCTAGCTGGCCCTGAAAAATCTCGACGGAAGATAATTTGTCGGGAAGGTTTCGATCGTAGATGCGGTCGCCATCTTCACTTCAGTTCGATCGGAGCATTGCGAAGGGGGACAATCATGAGGTGTACTTCGCCATGGAACTCATTTGCTTGCGCGCCTTAGGTTGGCAGTCCTTATCTCGAGATTTAGAGCGGCTACGAGCCCTTGATGACACCCATGGATTCAGCAGCCCTCGACTCGTTCAGTTGAGAGTCTCGGAACACTTGATATCGGATTACTCTTCAAGTTATCTTCGAAAGCTTAGTATCACTATGAAATTGTTTCTGCTCGATCGAATAGTTGTCGACCCACATCTCGATGTTCTGAGCGAGTTCAGGGCTCAGCCTCTTCGTGCGCGCGGGTGCAACCAGTAATTAGCTTCGCCCTCGCATTTCCGGAGACCTGAGTTCGGTCTGCTACTCGAGCTATCATCGAACAATCGATGTCACTCTGTAATTGTTCTGGTGTTTTGCAGGGGCCTCCTGAGACATTGCGGGATTTAGAGCATCTACACAACTCCGATTGCAGCAACCGAATCAGCAGCGCCGACAGCACCTGTCAACACTCGAAAGACCTGAGACCGGTCTACTACTCGAGCTATCTTCGAACAATTAGTATCACTATGTAACCGTTGTTGCTCTATTGATTCTTTAGTGCCGAAATATCGAGATTCGGAGTGAGTCCAGGGCGCTGTTCTCTCGTGAAGCTGGTACGACCAGTAGTTTCGTTCTGCCACTCTTGGAGGCCTGAGTTCTTTCTGCAGCTCCAGGTATCATCGAATACGCTCATATGACTCTGCAGCTGTTGTCGCTGATTTGCGCGATCCCTCCTGCTACATGTCGAGATTTCGGGCAGCTGCAGAGCTCTCGAGTGCGGCAACCGATTCAGCAGCGTCGAGAGCACCGGTCTTCAGCTTCGAGAGTATTCCCCATGCAGTGCCTGCACTGAAGGGGTCCTAGCGGGAGTTGAAAGACTTGGGCGAAAGTTCCCCGCCGATTTTGGTAGCAGGCTGGGTTCCCAGGTTCCCGGTTCCTGAGTTCAGGTTATTGGCTCCGGGCCGATTCCGGTGGGTTCTGGGTTCCCAGGCTCCCGGGTTTCCGGTCGATCTTCTCAGCCACCCATTGATTGTTTTTTTTTCTGATGTAATAGTTATTTGTAGCTAAAGCGCAATCATCTAGAGGCGTTTGTGTTCGGAAAGAAGCTCCACGAGTCTACTGGCAGTAACCACTGTCGACGGCTTAACACCGGCGCCCAGTTTGTGGGGGTCTCAGCCGTGGAGGTGTTCTTGGGGCCATGGAGGACATCGATCAAACCAGAGTGTTATGATGCTCCAACCTACTTTAGCCTTGACCACCAGAATAAATTTTGAGCACCAAAAAAATACCCAAACTGGAGGGTTTTCACGTGTCGGGTCCTGGGAGACACTCGTCCGACACTGTCTCGACATTCTTTCGACACCTTTCCGTGTGCTCTAAATTATTCCTGGGATTTGGTCCGATGGGAGCAACATAACAAGAGGGTTCCTCAATCCGCGCTGCCCCCCCAGATCCCCTACCATGTGTACAGGGTTTCTCTTGGGGCGATGGCGGGCTTGCCTGGGACCGTTTTGGGCCCCTCTCGGGCCCCTCTGGGCGTTCCTTTGGGCCTCCGATTCCACTTGGACCGCGTCGCGGGACCTCTTGGCGTCTGTCGCGGGATGGGCCAGAGCGGTCGCCCTTCTCCTTGAGGGGCGACGCGAGGGCTCAAAGAGAATCGCAGGGCGCGACGCGCGAAGTTGAACAACCTGGGCAACATAGAAACCTCACCTCGCACGAGGCAGCGTCCACCCCATGAGCACCGCGGACTTCCAGGCCTACCTCCAGAACCCCGGGGCCACCGAGGCCGCGCGGCTCCAGCTCGAGAACGCGGTCGCGGTGGAGAACGCCTAGGCCGCTCCTCCTTTTTGGGGAGGCTTCCCCTGCCGGGTGCGCCGGCAGGAGCGTTTTGCAGCCCCCCCCCATACTCCTTCCGGGTGTTGCTAGACGTGCCCTTGGCCCAAGGTGCCCCCAGCTTTTCGCTCCATTTGGGAGCCTCAGGGCCTCGTGAGGGGTGCCTTGGAGGCTGTCTGGGCCACCCCGAGAATCCTGGGGTACCTTGGGCCAGGGGTGCTTCTAGCAACACCCGACCCTTGTCTCGTTGTTGTATCGTTGTGGGAGAACGAGGCGGGATACAGTTAACCCGCACAGCAAGGATGAGCCACATCCCAAGGTCACCCTTTCGGGGAAGCGTGAGACTCGAGTAAGCCGGAGCTCAGGCTTGCCAACGTTTTCGACAAGAGTGTCTTGGATTTTGACGGTTTGGTTTTCGTGTGATGTTTGCAGCGGGAGGTCGCGTCAAATTTCAGATTGGGTTTCGTCATTTTCACGAAGACCCCCCCGACACTTGCATTAATCGGGCCTGTCCTTCTACAGAAGGAATGTTAAAAACTAGTTCGTTGGGCGTATTTTGAGGGTATGTTTTTCCCCAATCAGAGCTTGCCTCTGTAGGGGTCCTAGCGGATATAAAGTTGAGGTGAGGTGGGCGGCCGATTTCGGTGGCCGGGGCCGGGTGCCCGGGTGCCCGGGGGTTCCCGGGGGTGCCCGGGTGCCAGGTGTGTGGCCGATTTCGGTGGCCAGGGCCGGGTGCCCGGGTGCCCAGGGGTGCCGGGGGGTGCCTGGGTGCCCAGGGGTGCCCGGGTGCCCGGGGTGCCCAGGGGTGCCCAGGGGTGCCTAGCCCAATAGCCCTATATCCCTATAGCCCAATAGCCCAATCGCCATATATCCCTATAGCACTGTAACCCTATAGCCCTATAGCCGTACCTATACGACCACCCTTCGGGTGATAAGGAGGTTCGGGGGGGGGGAACCAACGTCTCACTCGATCGGTCTCACTATCGATCTCAGTATCGATCTCACTATCGGTCTCGCTCGATCGATCTCACTCGATCGATCTCACAATCGATCTCGCTCGATCTATCTCATTCGATCGTTCTCACACTTGATCTCACAATCGATCTCACAATCGTTCACACAATCGATCTCACATTCGGCCTCAATATCGATCTCACTATCGATATCACACTCGCTCTCACAATCAACGTCATCATCATCATCATCATCATCATCAACATCATCAACGTCATCAACATCAACATCATCACTAACATCGTCATCATCATGAGGGCACCGTCATCATCATCATCATCATCATTTTCATCATCATCATCATCATCATCATAAACAACATCATCAACGTCAGCATCATCATCGGGACAACATCATCAGCATCACTATCATCATCTCATCATCAACATCATCATCATCATCATCATCATCATCATCTGGACACAGTCATCGTCATCATCATCAGCAGCAGCATCATAATCATCATCAGAATCGGGACACTATCATGATCACCATCGTTCTCATCATCAACATGATCATCGCATCATCAGCATCGACATCATCATCATCAACAACATCATCATCATTGGGGCACCATCATCATCATGAGCAACATCATCATCAACATCGTCATCATCATCATTATTATCATCATAGGGACGCCATCAGCATCACCATCATCACCATCATCATCAGCATCATCATCGGGACACCATAATCATCATCAACATCATCATCAACATCATTATCGCCGGGACACCATTTCCATCAACATCATCATCACCAACATCATCGGAATCATCATCGGAATCATCATCATCATCATCATCATCATCATCATCATCGGGACACCATCATCGTCATCATCATCATCAACATAATCATCATCAACATAATCATCATGAGCATCATCATCCTCATCATCGGAACACTATCATCATCATCGACACCATCATCAACATCATCATCTTCATCGGGACACCATCATCATCATCATCTCATCATCATCATCATCATCATCATCATCACCATCACCACCATCTCACCATCATCCACGCGGGACACCGCGAGACACGGGCGGGACACCGCGGGACACCGCGGGACACCGCGGAACACCGGCGGGACACCGCGGGGTCCATCCTTCACCTCCGATAGCCCTATAGCCCAATAGCCCAATAGCCCCATAGCCCCATAGCCCCATAGCCCTATAGCCCTATAGCCCTATAGCCCTATAGCCCTATGGTCCTAAAGCCCTATAGCCGTATAGCCGTATATAGCCCTATAGGTTTATAGCCCGAATAGCCTTATAGCCCTTCGCCCTATAGCCTTGCCCTGTAGCCCTATAGCCCCATAGCCCTAAAGGCTTCTAGCCCTATATCCCTATGGCCACATCGCCCTATAGCCCTATAGCCCCATAGCCCTAAAGCCCTAAAGCCCCATAGCCCCCCCCAAATTCTGATTGGGTTCTTTCTCTGGTATCATGTGTATTGTTGGGGGTATTTATTTGTCGTCCAAATCCCCCTGTAGGAGGACAGGCCCGCAAAAAATAGTCTGGGGACGATGTTGTAATCATTGGTTTTGCATTTGGGCTTGTTTAAACGTATGTTTGATGTTTCGCCCAAATCCCCTTGTATTCTAGGGGGACAGGCCCGACCTAATCCTACGGGCTGGCCACATTCTTGATATGTTCGGTTTCTGGCGGCCCTTGCTGGGCCTGGGGGCTGTAACACAACGATGCAAGAGACGCCAAGAGGCGACACGACTCACGACGTCGGCAGTGTGCCCAAGATTTCGGCCTCCGGGGTGCGTCGCTTGGCCCCGGGGCCCTTCCAAACACCTGGGGCGACCCCGGGGAAAGTCGTCGAGAGACTTGTGGCCGCGCTTGAGCAGATACCACACGGTCGGATGCCCGGGGGAGTCAGCCCCTGTGCTGAATGGATTTTCTCTTCTCCAGTGCAGTCGCAGGGGGGGGGGAGATCTCTCCTCCTCCTCCCCCTCCTCCCCTCCTCCCTCCTACGGTCATGGGGTTTCGTTTAGCGTGTTGGCGAGTTCGAGGTGATGCCGTTCACAGAAGTCCCGCAAACATCCCCCATTATAGTTTTCAGCATCGGTTCCACAGGGCCCGATAGCAGACGAACGAGTGGACGACCAACTACCACCTTCCCGAGGGAGCCCCACATGTCCATTAGCATCCAGGGCACCCACTGGCACGCACCGATGGGGTAGAACATCCAGAAAGGCGCGGAACCACCCAATGAATATGTTGTTGGTTTGCTTGTCGCTGGCTTTTTTGGGCTCCTGAGGGGCATACCCAACGAAGAAACAAAGACACATATGTCGATCGTAGGTGTTTTATCACGTACTCCCCCCACGTCGATTGAGATCACGATGTCCTCCAAAGTCCCTCCAATCGACAAATCTATGAATAGATTCTTGATTAAAGAACCGCCGATGAAGAAGAAGCGCAAGACCGGTACCACGCATGCGATTGTCCCTCTGATCCCATCGAATACAATGAAACACGTCGACCCTCGATAAAGTGTGCTCGTCATCCGTGCCGACATGCGTTGCAGGAAGAGCGACTGCTGCACATGCCCGGAACTGCCCAGCAATACCATCCCACCTGCCCGACTGCCGCATCGAACAGGGATTGTACACGCACACTTGCAGAGATGGCATGTCGAAATCAAGAACAAGACACCAGGGAACCTGCAATCGTGAGGAGACGTCCAACGATAATGGGGCAATACGGTATCGGACCGAAGGGTGGAACAGAACATGCAGTAAGCCATCGGGTATGCCTTTGCACTCTGCAACGGCTGAAGAAGAGGCGAAGCAGGAGGAGGAGGAGGAGGAGGAGGAGGAGGAAGAGGCGAAGCAGGAGGAGGAGGAGGAGCATCCCTCGACGCTCGTGGCCCCGCCCTCCCTCTCACGCTGCACGCAGTGGCCTCGACGTCTCGGCCTTCGCTCGCCCCGACGGCAGGCCGCGCCGGCGGCGCAGCGCTGACAGGCCCGCGCGGCCGCCCTCTCGCTCGAATAGAGCGGGGCTAGGTTCGGTCAGGCCGCGCCCGGCGGGCGCCCCCGGAGGGAAGACTTGGCCAGCTTTCAGAGGAGGAAAACGATACAGAGCCAGCTCTCTTGGCCCTCCTCCTCCCCCCTTCCTTCTAGTTTTTTCGAAGGAGGAAAGGGGGAGGAGGAGGGCCAAGAGAGCTAGCTCTGTGCTGCTGTGTTCCTCCGCCCGAGTCCTGGGGGCGCTCTGCGCAGGCACGATCAAAAACGGGCACGGAAAGGTTGTGCGAGAAGACTTGCAGCCGGTTCTGTTCCTTTTGCACAGAGCTCGCCGTACAAGTGAGAGTGGCCCTTCGCCGGAGTGACCTTTATCGTGCATAGCCAGGACCCCAGGTGCCCTGGTGCCCCTTAAATGGGCCAGAATCACTAAACCAGGTCAGCCGTAGCTGGTGTTGTTTCGTCCCCAAGTACACATTATAAAACCAGGTCAGCCGTGGAATTGGGCGGGGGGGCATCCCAAAGTACACATCACTAAACCAGGTCCCACTAAACTCAGTCCTGCCATCGCCCGGTTGGTGCGCGGCTTCTTCGTGCCGCTGGCGGGCCAAGCCCAAGCGCACAGGCCGTCACTGTCGTACCACCTGCAGCGATCGGCGGGCCGCGCACCGAAGGCCACTGGTGCCTAGGGTTAGGTCGGGCATGTCCCCTACAAGGGGATTTTGGACGATGAAGAGAAAAATAAGAAAAATAATTCAAACATGCTAGAAACATCGTCCTCATATCATGTTGTTGTCTATGTTTGGATATTCCTCCTGTAGAGGGACAGGCCCGACTTAAGCCTAGGGCCACTCCTTGCGTGTAACCTCGGGGGTAGATCCCCTACCCTGACACGTCGATTACTGAATTGTCCGTTTTCGGTTCGCGAGAGGGCTCCGCGGCCGTCACTTTCCAGGCTTGCGCCCGCCAGGTTTGGGCCCGAGGTCGTTTTCACTGAACCA